CAGGAACTGTTCTAGACTAGAGGTACCACAGTAAATAGAAAAGACAGTACAGTAAGTCCTTACTTAACACATCGATAGGTTCTGCAACTTTAAGTGAAACGACGCATAACAAAACCAGTTTTATAATAGGCTAACTGATGTCTACAAGAGTTAAGTTCCCACGCATCTCATCAACGTTATAACAAAACGACGCCGTGATTCGAGGACCTGCTATATCCACCCTCATGGATATTACATTCTGGTGATGAAGACAGAAAAGCAAGTGGGTAATACCTAGGCTGAGAAAAGGAACGCTTTGGTGGGGACCTGGATTCTAATGGTCCTTTTTGTCCCCGTGAAATGTGTCGCTGCCTGATCTTGCCTCTGACTCTGGTGACACTTTCCTTGAGACATGACACTCCACAATGTACCCATGAGAGCCAGCAGACAGACTAACATGCCACTATCTTAATATTACTTTGCCATTGGTGTCGATGTAAGAAACGTTCAAACCTGTAGAGAATTTTTATGATTTTACTTGAACCAAACTGACCAAACCGACTTGGGAAGCAAGATCTCAGGTGCTCTGCAGTTTGCAGCTGCTTTTATACATTTAGAACTAAGGAGGGAATGTAAGGAAAATTACTTAGAGGTGGGAGAAACCAAGGTACAGGATAGTTAAGATTATGGGCCCTGCTTCCTGAGGGTGGTTATACCTCCAGGGAATCTGCAAAAGAAGCTTTCAAAGGCGTTAACCTAGAGGCACAGAAACAAGAGACGAGACAGGGCTGGCTTAAGGCCAAGATGAACCTCTTACTAAAGGCATTAGAGGCCTGGGGCAGGACTACCCACCATGACCTGCCCAGTTAGGGGTTTATGATCTGATCACCTGTGAGGTTACTTTTGGTCACTGGGCTTGTTAGATTTATTATAGAGCCCCTTTTCCATCCATGATGGCATTTCATATCTTTTCCTCTGAGTTGCTACCTACTGAGATGAAAATATCTACTTTGCAAGCCCTGGCATAAATGCCGGGGTGAAACCCTGACTCCTTTTTCCTGCCCCTGCCCAAGTTCTCAGCCTCCCTCAGGCTGTTAGGATTAGCCTTTTCCCTTGTAGTTGACTGTGGCTTAACCATTGACAGCGCACAGTGTTTTGTTCTCAAGGGAATCTGGATGGGCATCACCAACAGATCCCTGGTGGGGTCAGCATCTGCGGGCCACCTCCTTCAGCCCACCCTTCTTGTAAACCCAGCCTCTCCCCTCAGATCTCTCTACTGCTGCCTTCCCTCTGCAGAGCGCAGGCCCAGCTGGAGGACAGACACTCCCTCTCTGGTGCTCTCAGTTCCCTAGTGGAGTGATGCCCTGGGGTGATGGCCACAGCTGTCCAGTGGGCTAAGAATGTGTGCCAGGCCCAAAGTTGGGCCTGGAAAGGTCCTTATAGTGCCCTGTGTGGCAGGAACATGTGTCTGCTCTATGTGGAGCACTTTGAGGGAGGACAGAGGGAACAGCATTGCCATGGTGCACGAATAAGTGGCAGCTATGGAAGGGATTTGGGGACAGGCCTAGGGTGGTCTGTCTGTGCTCTCAGGAGGTGGCCCTGACCACTGTGTGGAGGGAGAGTACGGCAGTGTCAGGAGTTCTGTAGGGCCAGGGCTTGATGGACCATGGACCTGTGCCTGAGGGACAGCCAAAGAAAGGGTGGGCAAGCACATGTGGCGGGGCTGGCACATCAGCCAGGGTGTGTGTGGGTTCCAAAAGTCCCAAGGAAAAAGGGTGGAGGAGTGGGGCCACCCTAGCCTAGCCAGGCTGAGGGGTTGGGAGTTAACCTGAGGGAGACTGAAGGTTTCTGCACGCATAAGTGTGCCCCTTCTTTGTTCAGTATAGCCAAGGCCACCCTGGTGTGGTGGCTCAGCTGGTTGGAGTATCATCCCATACACCGAAAGGCTGCAGGTTTGATCCCTGGTTGGGGCACGTATGGGAGGCAGCCGATGGATGTTTCTCACATCGATGCCTGCCTCTCTCCCCCCCTTCCTCTCTCTTTAAAATCAACAAACATATTGTCAGGTAAGAATTTTATATATATAGTCAAGGCCCTCAGAAAAAACTCATCAAATGAATGAGGCCTGCTGGGTTATTGAGAGCATCTCTGCCCGTCTCCTGCGTGCAGGGGCTGCATCTCAGGCAAGGCTCATGAGCACCACAGTTCTTGGCCTCATAGGAGAAATGATTGTCATTTCATCTTTGGAAGACTCCTCAGGTGCTTCCCCTTCAGCTGTCAGTGACACCCCTTGCTGGCAGCTGTAGGAGGGTGGATTTGAGTGGGCATCGTGGAAAAAGGGGCTAGTCTGGAGTCAAAATCTGCCCACTTTCAGTGTGTGTGCGTGTGTGCACGCACATGCATGCATGTGCTGCCCTTGGAGGTGGACCACTCCACTGGCCTCAGAGTGGGTGGGTGGAGTGAGATCCCATCCTGCCTCCTTATGGTTCTGCATCTGCGTCCCCTGCAGACACATATGGTGGCTGCTCCATTTGCCAGCAAACAGGTGTTGAGCACCTACTGTATGCTAGATAGAATTCTGGGAAACCCCACCCCAGTAGAAAGGTGTGTGGGGCAGAGAGGGAACAGGGCACTGCCAGCAAGCACAAAATAACATGGCGAGTGCTCTGGAAACAGCTGCTGTGGGAATCCAGGCCTTGTTGTGTGGGCTTGTGGCAGCCAGGGAAGGCTTTGCAGAGTGGAGTAAGTCCAGAGCTTCTGCAATACAAGGACAAATGTGAGGACTTACAGGGGCTGGCGATGGGACAGTGAACGGGAAATAGTTAATAAAACAGGAAGCTTGAGTCAAGTAGTCCCTGTGTTCTGCTCCCGGTGAAGTGTCCGAGATGGTGGCTGTGGCGACTGCCTTCTCCAGCAATACGAGAATGTTGAAGGTGTCTGAGGGTCCCAGGTTGGGCTGACTCAACTGTGCCACAGGGCTCAGGAAGGGACAGCCAGAGGGATCCACGGCTCTCTCCCCTCTGAGCTCTCCAGGACTGGGATGAGCTGCACCACATGTGTGCGGGTCATAAAGGGTGGCCTTGAGGGTCACCTGGTGAGGAAGACAGCACAAGTTTTAAAGGGGTAAGGCCAGAGCTGATGGACTCACCCTGCTCCATCTGTGTTCTCTCTCTGCACCTGGCCCCAGAATGGGCTTTAGTCAAATATGATGGGCAGAGGCAGGTCCTGGGCTCCACCTGGCCACCTGGACCCAGCCGCCAGCTCCCTGCTAGGCTTCCAGTGACCTCCTGACCGGAAAGGGGAACAAGGGGCTCAAACCTTTTTTTCTGGCTGGTTCCCTGCGCTGGAACCAGGTGCCCCCATGACACAAACAGCTGAAGCAAGGGAGGGATTTTCTTTGCTGAGCCCTCCTGATATTGTACTGTGGCTTCTGCCTCTTTTTTTTCCGGTGGTTTGTTTTGTTAATTCTCACCTGAGGATATTTTTTTCCATTGATTTTTAGAGAGAGTGGGAGGAAGGATGGGAAAGGGAGAGGGAGGGGGGGAGAGAGCAAAACATTGATGTGAGAGAGACACGTGGATTGGTTGCCCCCAGCATGCGCCCTGACCAGGGCTGGGGAACAAACCTGCAACCCAGGTACGTGCCCTTGACCGAGAATCAAACCCGAGACCCTTTGGTGCACAGGCCGACGCTCCAACCACTGAGCCACACCGGCAAGGGCGACACTGACGTTTTTTAAGTCTAGATCCATTGTTCCCTAGACTGCCCCTCAGCTTGGGTGTGCCTGTGTTTCCTTGTGGTAGGTTCAGGGCATGCATTTTTGGGTACCTGCCAACAGCATGGCGGCATGTGCTGTCTCCCCTGATGTTAGAGATGCCAGCTTTGATCACTTGTTGAAGGAGGTTTCTCCACAGACAACTGTTTTTGCCTTTGTAATTAAGTAATTTGTGGGAGATACATTCAAGCGATGTAAAAATCCAGCTCCTCACCCAGCTTTCTCCTACGAGGTTTAGCATCCAGTGATCTCCAGTGATCATCCAGTCTTTCCATACTCACTAGGTGGCATCCTGTAGCTCTCCTTCCTCCTCCATGTATTAATGATTACTTATTTGTGTCTATGTGGGCGCAGGCATTTCTGTCTTAGTGAATTACAATCCCTTGCTCTCATTTATTTCTGTGATTAAATTATTTCAGGTTTAGCTGGTGGGAGCCCCTCAGACTGGCAGCTGCTTCCGTTAGACACATCTCCGTCTCCCTTTGGGCACTCCCCTACTTTCCCGCACACAAGGTGCTGCTCGTCTGACACTTTCCAGTGAGCCCTGGAAGTCACTTGTTTTTAATGGATACACCCATACAGTGCTTTCCGATTATCGTTTGTTTCGTACTGCCACTTGGGAATTGTGTATGTTATTTGGGTCTTGTGTTTACATGTTGTTGGGAGAGAAGACCTCATGGCAGTGTCATGGGTGGCTTTCTTTCTATGATGCGTGAAGACTCTGTGAGTAGGTAATATCAATTTACCTTATAAATTTAAACTAAACTAGAGGTTATGTACTAAAGCAGCTGTTCTTTAGGCACTGATTGTATGCCTATCATTTTAATTCCTTCAAAGACCCTTGTAAAAAATAAGGAAAGTGAGGCCCAGAGAGGTTGGTACACAGGTCAGAGTCACACAGCTAGTGAACAGTTGAGCCAGTTTCAGTCCACTTTGGTCTGACCTCAAAGTTCACTTTTTCTGATATACTTTGTTATGATATAATACATTTCCTGACTCTAAATTATAGAATTTGTACACATAACAGTGAATAATAATAAAAAGCTTGCTTGAGGTTCAAAGTCTTTCACCTGCTGCATAATTATTCTGTGTCTGTATGGAAATCGAATCTGGAAAATTGAAGTTTGTGGTTCCCCACTTTGTCCTGTCACAGGAAGTCTGCTTGTTTTCATTAGAGAGCTGCGGCTGTCCTGATGTTTGTGTAAGCGCCTAGAAGTTTCCTAACCCTTTTATTTTCTTCCTATAGGAATTTGCGTGCTAGAAAACAAAATGCAAGACTTGACAAACAAAATGACTTGGGATGGAAGTTATTTGGAAAAATACCTCTCCGAGAGAATGCTCAGAAAGAGTCAAAGAAAATGCAAAAGGTATACAAGATAAACACACAGAAGTGTGCCGTACAGCATATATTTATGAACCTTGCAACAATGACTGTTTTGGAGGCTTTGAAACTGGGACACTTTGTCTTAATTTGTATGCCAACTTCGTAAAACTTAAGTCTGTCCTCAGAATGTCGATGACTTTAACCTTTATCATTTCTTACAGTTTGCAGCATGCTCATCAGTGTTCAGTTGAGCAAACTGCGCTTTAGATATTTATAAATTGATTTAATTTAGGCGGTTTTTTCTAGTAATAGTTGCAAATGTGTTTATTGTTGATTTATTGACTGTGTGTGATAAGCATGCTCCCGGGGTTTCCTGGAACTGAATCCTTCCGGTGCTGCTTTGGCCAGGAAGCCAGGCTGTTGCTCGACCCAGCTGTAGTGACCCCTGCTCCTGTCTGCTGGGGAGGGCATAGGGTTCAGGGTCGGCCAGGCCTGTTTTGTCTCATCGTCGCTGGGCTCCCCATGGAGGGGAGATGCCAGCAGCTGGAGACATGTGCTTATTTTTTTAAGGAGGGGCTCATGCAGGGACACAGCAGGGCTGGGGGCTTACCTTTACCACTGCCTCTTCTAGACCTTGAGCCCAGCATTCTGGGAGTGCCTATTTGCCCACCCCTCCGACCTCAGTTTTATATTCATTGGTAATTGTTCAACAAACACTTAAGGGTCTACTAATGCAAGCCCTCGCTCTGCTCTGGGTTTAGAGCGGTGACACAGCACCTGTGTTCAGTAGCGTCCTCTGGGGAGGTGATTCTAGTGCAGCACAGGTGCATGAAGAGGGCGGCAGGGCCTGCTGGGCAAGGCCACCCTGGAGGTTGAGTGTGGAGGTGGAGAAATAATAATAATGGGGATGGATCACGTACTGAGTGTTTACTTGTGCTAATTTTAAGGGAGTCAGCTCTTGGGTTTCTAGTTCATTTAAAACTTGCAGCAACCTTATGAAGAAGATACCATTATTGTCCTTGTACCGAAGAAGCACTGAGACACGGGCCAAGTGATTTGTACAGCTCGTGATTGGCAGAGCTGGAGTTCAGCCCGGCAGTTGGCCCCACTGCTCCTCTGCCTCTGTGCTGGAAGGGGCAGCATGAGCAGGAGGCAGAGGGGGGCTGTCCACTGGACTGTGTGATGTGACGCGATGTGATGTGCCTGGAGCCTGGCCCTGGCCTGCAGGCTCTGACCTATGCACAGAGCCATGTGGTCACCTGGCGAGAACGTGGCTCTTGCACTAGTCCAGGTGAGAGAAAGTGGCATCTGGCTCAGGCTGTGGCAGTTGAGGGTTGCGAGGATGGCCCTCTGAGTGTGAACCTGTTAGATGCAGGTGAGCAGTGTGTGGGGCGAGGCCGTGAGTGCACGCTGGGTCCTGGCTTGGACAAGGCGGGTTTGCTCCTTTTATGCCTTGTTAAGTTTAATGTGTTTGGAATGTGGTCTAACAGTCCCTATAGCTGTTGTCTGGACCCAGGAGCCTCCCAAATCATTGTTGGAGTTCATTTTTACAGACTGTTACATTTTGAATTCGGATCACTTATTGTGTAGGCTTTTTTAAATGGCATAAAAAAGTAAGACATGATGATGAGTTTGTTTGCAAAGCTCTGCAATACATTTCTTAGGAAATTAAGTAGCCAAGCAGTTAAAATATTTTAAAAGAAATCCATACTTTCAAGAAAGTAACTGTCATAGATTTAGATTTATTTAGAAAATAGATTTATTCTTAATATTACTTACATCATGTTTAAGTTTCTTTGCTGCCTTTGTCACACATTTTTTTTAAGGTGGGCATGGATGTGTTCCTGAACTTGAAGGGTTTTGTGAACTGAAATGAATAGGTCAAGCATTCTGTGGTAACACACCACCGCCGAGAGGAGGACAGTCTGGCTTCAGCCATCAATAATGAAGGATGTAACTGTGCCTGCATGACTCATACAGCCCTGCCATGCTCTGTTTGCTTGTGCTTTGTGTCTCTGTCCTCTCATCTCTCATCTCTCATCTCTCATCTCTCATCCCTTTCCTCCCTCCCTCCCCCAAGCTGGCAGGGCCTGAGAGGGATCCAGAGCCCTGCCACTGTGGGAGGCTCCTGGGCCCCATGCTCAAGCTGGCTGCTGACACAAACATCAGCTCCTTTAGAGAGCCCGTGCTGGGGCCTGAGGGCCTAGACTTGCGATCCCAAGTGGTGATGACAACTCCAGTGAGAGCGAAGGCATCAGTACGGTGTTTGGGAAACTAACCCTTCCCTTCTTTTGCAGTGTTTGCATTACTTAAGAGAAGCAGCGTCACATAGTGATTTAAGGACACAGACAGTGAGTCAGACACTAGGCTTTGTGTCCCAGCTCTGCCAGTTTTCTCTGTGGCTTTGGGCATGTTACTTAACCTTTCTGAACCTCCTCTCCCTCTTTCTGAGATTTGGAGAAGGGAGTACCGAGGTGAGCATTAAACAGGTGACTATTCATCTTGTGCTCCGAGCAGCACTGGATGTTTTGAGTGCTGGGGAGTGTTTGATGTCATTGTTTTTGTCCTGTGACAAGTCTGCCATGGACAGCAGGAAGTGAAACTGTGCTCGAGAATGAACCTGAGCCCTGCCTAGACCCCTTCATTTGCTTGTTCCACACACATTACTGTGTTGGGGTCGGTCTCGTGCTGCCTCTGGGTGCTTCTCTGTCTGTGGGCACCCTCTGAGAGATCTCAGCTGGACTCAAGGCTCTGCATGTCACACCTCACTGACAGCCCCCACATGTGCCTGCAGCCCGGACCGCATCTCTGAACTCCAGACGGTGTCCAGCTGCCTGTTGGCCAGCTGCATGTGGGTGGCTGATAGGCGTTTCCTGTTCAGCAAGGGTAGGCCTAAACTTTATTTTCTTCCTTTCCACTTTGTTGGGCCTGTTCCCTTGCACTTCCCTCATTTTGGTAAATGATAGACATGGCCCTCTCAGGCCTTAAACTTTAGAACTGCTCTCTACTCTTTTCTCACAACCCCTTCCATTCAGACAGGTGTTTCTTGTATGTTTGAGCTCTGCAGGTGAATCCTATCTAGTCTTATTTGAGAAGCAGTGGCTCGCTGGGGAATTCTGATCTCCAGTGAAGTTGTGTGGGTGAAACCGTGTTAGCGAGTCTTACTGGTATAGCCTGGCATGAGATGGTCATGGCTTAATGGTCCTCCAGTTGCTCCAGTTATTGGGAAATGAGGAATGGGTTTTTAAAGATAAGTTAGCAATACATACTTCCTAGTTACATTAATTTGTAGAAGACATATAAGGTATCAGCAAATTAAGAAAAAGAAAACACCTAGAGTCTTACCGCCCCCAAATAACTATGGTTTGCATTTTGGTATTTTTCAGTAATTTTCCATGCACTTTTAAATTTTTTTAAAGAAAAGACCACTTTAAAAGTAACTTTGTAATTTGAGTGGATGTCAGCAGGACTCAGGGCTAGAGACTTTTGGGGAGGCTTTAAGACAGGTTTTTTTGGTTTGGTTTTGCTAATCCCCAGCCGAGGATATTTTTCCTATTGATTTTTAGAGAGAGTGGAAGGAAAGGAGGGGGCAAGGGAAGGGGAGAGAGAGAGAGAGAACCATCGGTGGGAGAGAGACACATTGATGGGTTGCCTCCTGCATGTGGGGATCGAACCTGCAACCCAGGTACCTGCTCTTGACTGGGAATCGAACCCTTGACCCTTTGGTGCATGGGCCAATGCTCTAATCACTGAACCACACTGCCCAGGGCAAGGACAGAGTTTGTGAATCTTTTAAACATAACACTGTGTACATAGACTTGAGAAATTGGCACTATTTTCAGGAAATGAGGCTGAGCAGAAAGTTTGAGCTGCTTGGTTGGGCTTGGAGGCAGCTGCTGATGGTGGTGAGGATAGCTGCAGGAAAGGACAGGCTGTGGACTTCAGTGTCCTAGATAAAATACTGCCATGTGAGCAAAGATGAGTGTGTGTGTTTGGGTTTTTATAACCCGGAATGTCTTGGATGGCCTTTTGGAATTTGAAGTCAGCGGTTAGATGTTAAAGAGAGAATCCCAGAAGAGGGCAAATCCAGGACATCTTAAAGTGATAGTCATTCTTCCCAGCTCTGGGTTCTGAGAAGTCTGGGGTGCTTAGGAAATCATAAATCATCACAAACTGCAGAAGGGATAAGCCTTGGTGGTCAGTGCAGGTAATGGGTGGGCATACAGGTAGATTCTAAAATAAGAAAACTCCCTCCATGGCCATCATCCCATACATACATCTTTGGAAAGTGGGTTTGAACCAGTTTACAAAGAGCAACCCCAGTTCTGTGTAAGGAGTAGTAGGTACACTCTGCTCCGTCTCCCCAATGGATGCAGCTATGGCGCTTGAACATAACACATGGAATAGCTGTTAGAGGATTTGGAAGAGTAACAGTAGCGGGGGGTTGGGGAGGAAAAGAAGAATTTGAAGTACCCCTGAATTGACCAAGTTTACCACTTTTCCCCTTTGCTATTTTACAGCCTGGATTCAGGGTACCCCAAACCCAGAAGTGGGTGTTAACATGGACAGAGAGAGTGCTAGGAGATGCTCTGGTTCTGATGTGAGGAGGGGGTCTCAACACTCAGAGAGAATGCAGAAGCCCCACACTTCATTTTTGTCTTCTCTGTTCTCATACACCCAGCCCCCAAGAAGTCTCCTGGCAGCAGAGCAAGGGCTGGCAGGAGCATAAAACTTTCAGGAAGGGAACAGATTAGAGAAGTTTCATTTCCAAGAAGGTGGGGGCAAACCCCTGGTGCTTTATTCTCTCTTCCCCAACACTTAGCCCCAGACAGACATAGTTGTGGGAAGAGTGTGGCTAGAGAACCAGAAAAAGGGAGACCAAGGGAACCAGCCAGTACTGGGGGCAGTGTGTGAAGGAAGAGTTCAGGAAAGTGACCCTTTCAGTTAGTTATGATCTCCTGGGCTTACTCCTGAGTTGTGGATACATGGATCTGACCCAAATAGCATACATAGACTTTGAGAACTGACCCTGGGGATAGACCA